GCTGTCCTATTGGACTCACCAGGCACATCTGCTGCCAACATGGGTTGCTAGCTTCTGAGGTCAGAATGAGATGCCCGGTGATAGTCATGTGTTGGGCACCTCATTCTGACCTCAGAACAAGCAACCCACAGTGGCAGTAGCCTTTCTGGATGGCCCAATGGGACACCCATGCAGACAGCTGCCATGGCTCAGAAATGGAGGTCTCGTAGAATCATAGAGTTGGGAGAGATCCCAAGGACCATTCAGGGACACAGCATTAAAGTACCCCCAACAGATGGCCATCTAGCCTCCAAAGAAGGAGGTGCCACCACTCTGAGGTGTATGTAACACTGTCAAACAGCTCTTACAGTCAGGAAGTTTCTCCTAATGTTGGGATGGAATCTCTTTTCCTGTAGCTTGCATCCATTGCTCCTTGTCCTATTCTCTGGAGCAGCAGAAAACATGCTTGCTTCATCCACGTAAGGCATGTTTCCAGGCCCTTCACCATTTTGGTCACTCTCCTCTGGACATGCTCCAGTTTGTAAACATCATTTTTGAATTGTGGTGCCCAGAACTGGACATAGTATTCCAGGTGAGGCCTGACCAAAGCAGAATAGAGTGACACTATTACTTCTCTTGATCTAGACACTATACTTCTGTTGGTGCAGCCTAGAATCCCATTGGCTTTTTTAGCTGCTGCATCACACTGTTGACTCATATTCAACTTGTGGTCTACTAGGACTCCTAGATCCCTTTCACATGTAGTTGTGTTAAGTCAGGTGTCCCCCATCCTATAGCTATTCATTTCAGTTTTTCTGCCTAAATGCAGTACCTTACATTTCTCCGTGTTGAAATCTATTTTATTAGTTTTAGTCCAGTTTTCTAATCTATTAAGGTCATTTTGAATTTTGATCCTCTCCTCTGGTCCTACTCCTTGATCCTACTCCTCCTAATTTGATGACGGCTGCAAATTGGATAAGCAGGCCCTCTATTCCTTGGAGCAACAGCTAAGGGTTTAAAAAATCATGTTAACAAGGCCTTAGTGTACGGAACTCAAAATTGTGCCATGACACACCAAAGAGATGAGTACTTTGCTATATAGGTTATATGAAAGCAAATGTGAAGTTGTGATTTAAGTGCTGGAAGACACTGGAAGACCAGGGTTTGAATCCTGTTCAGTCATGAAAACCCACAGGATGGCCTTGGGCAAGTAATAGTCTCTCAACCTCAGAAAAAGCAAACCTCCCTCTGAAAAAAATCTTGCTGAGAAAACCCCATGACCTTTTGAGTCATCATAAGTTGAAAATGACTTGGTGGCACACAACAAAAACAACAACATGGACTATAGGCTTAGTCAGCTGTAGAAAGGCATCTGTAGTTTTCACTTATTAAGTCATCCATTAATTATTGCTAAACAAACTTTAAGCATATTTGTATTTCCTTCATTAGCCTGTCTTTAATTCTTGCACTTATTTTTTGATATTTTACTGGCCCCTTGGTTATCATGCATGACAGTCAGAATTCCTGAGACTAAAAATGCAATAAAACATTGCCTGTTACAAAACCAACCTCACAGTTGCCTGTTAAACTATTAAAAAAAGATTCCTTTCTTTCTATTTACTCCCACCTTCATGTCTACAGGTACCTTCTTGAAAAACAGAGCTGCTTTAATAAAGATCAGATTAAATTTCCGTGAAGTTTCCATGACATTCAGTAATTTATCTTCTTTTTAAAAAATATGAGACAGATTTCATAAACCACTTAGAATTTAATTACAAATAATATCAGCAGTGACTTTTCTGGAGATGCATCAATTTGCAAATAAAAATTCAATGTTTAGTGCCTTTTATCAACAATTTTTCATAGGGGAAAAAAAAAGTTTGAGTTCTTAAGTCCAGAATATATTGCTCTTTGAGAAAAGGATTTGTTCCAATTTGACCCTTCAGTACAGAACTGAGGGGTAAAAATGGAGAAAGCAGAAAATTTCTGCCACTAGAGCAACTGAGAAGCAGGTCCAGCCCTACTATTTGGCAATGAAGCACTAGTGCCTCAGGCAGTACATGTTGGAGGTCAGTGGCATCAGCCTTTCATCCCCACATATTTTTTT